ATATACAGTCTATGTAGTTACCATGATGTGTGAGAGCAGCTGCAACAGGCAACAAGAAAAAAAGAAAAGAAAAAAAAAAGAATCTGTATTACTGTAACGTTCCCCATTACAAAAGATACTTTTGCTACCAATCGATTCAGACATATTTCCTAGCAAAAACACAGGGAGTACTTTCATAACAGCAGGTCCGTGTGATTTTATGTGCGTGTGTGTCCATCAAAAGGAGAGCGAGAAGTACGTCAGAAGCTCATTATGCAAATCTCCTTTTTGGGAAATTTGTGTAATATGCCATGATGTCATGGAAAATCAAACACATTACTGTTAAACAACAAAACAAAACTCTAAATGCTGAATGTTTTTTAAAAAAATGCCCTAACAAAGTGTGTCAGAGTACAAAAATAAACTGCTGCAACAACACGCGTAAGAGGCTTAAAATAGCTTCTTGAAACATGAGACAACATCTGAGGGCATAACATTTTAGCCATGATTAAAAATAAAATGTTCAGGACATCGTTTACATATTACATCCCAAAAGCAAAAGCAGGACCTACATTTTCCTTCCAACATTTAAACAAAGCAACAAGCAAAAAACATCTGCAATTTGTTAAGAAGGGATTTAAAGTGATGACCCCTGAGGTTATGAGCGTGCCTGTACCTCTGCTCCACCAGGAACAATGTGCAGCATTACATTCCTCTGAGCAACCTGCATGTCTGCTTCTGCAACAGACTAAAGACAGGGCCTCTCTTTATACGTGTGTTTAGAGACTCTTTTTGTCCCTCTCTGACAACCACATTCTTATGAAGACTGATGACGTTGCAGAAGCTAAGCTACCGATCTGTGGCGCAATCGGTTTGCAGCTTTAAAGCAATTTATGTAATGAAAGCTCCAGTGAGAGCTCAGAACATTAGGTGAATGAGTACACCGGACAAATGCAGCGAGGGCAAAAGTTAGTCCACATGACATCAATCTAAGAAAGGAATCTCTCGCATGTTTTTTTCAACTGAAAGCCATTCATTTTTACCTCATTTAGATAATCCAATCACGAACTTTAAAAGGTCTCTTAAGAATCATTTAAGATTTAACAAAGTCAAGCAACAATCTGGCCTTTATTATTATTTTGGGGGCATTTTAGGTCTTTATAGCTAGATAGGAAAGTTAGAGAGTGAGGGACACACAGGACTGCAGAGAAGAACCTGACTGATTTGCAATTCAAACACTTCTCAGTTTGTGGTGGATTTTCTGAAATGTTGAGTGTACAAAAAACTTATTCAGTAAATCGAAACCTGAGCAGCAAATGTAAAGAAGATAAAATCATCTTCATAATGAAATTAAAGTTTATATTAGAAACCAAAATAAACATACAACAGATCAACCAGCCACTGGGGCATACCACAAAAACATATGTGTTTATTTATCACGTTCCCCTAGCAACTGAAAAACCAGCCAATGTGCCATTCCGCCTTAATGCTAGGGTGCGTTTATGAACGGAGAAGTGAATCACCAAATTTCTAAGAAGTTCCAGGACCGCAGACGGCTGCAGTGTCTAAAATGCTCCCTGATGTCAATTGGGTTATTGTTTTCTTTAGCAACGGAACAAAACAACATGTCAGCTTCCCAGCATGGCAAAACGGGACAGTGATGCAGAGAAAGTGGTACTCACTCTGCTGGATGGACTTGACTCCTCTCAGCATGGTTGCTGCGAACACAAAGAAGCAGCCAGTCTGATCGAACTGGACCTCTCCCATAATGCTGAAAGAGGCTCCCAGGCAGATGGGCATCATGGCTGTGTATTTGATGATGTGATGCTGCTTGCCTAGGATCAGTGTGGAGATGGCCAGGGTAAAAAGCGGGGTGGTAGTGTATATCATTTGTGCAAATGACAGCTGGACATAGTTCAGACCCATGTTTCCAAAGGCGATGCTGGCACAAAACGTCAGGCTCAACAGGAACACCTTACATTTTGCGCTGGGGGTCAGGTCCTGCTCTTCGACCCCTCTGTGGCGGATCACCTGCAGCTTGATCAGGCCGTAATCCACCACTATGGCTGTCAGCATGTGCAGAGCTGACAGCAGCAGAGGGTACCTGAAGTTGTAAACGGCAAATATCCATTTGTTGAGACTGGAGATGGTGGTGCCGGTCACCAGCCAAACAATGACAGCTGACAGCAGATGGAGCATCTCTGCGGGTGGCCGCCTCCTCCTCCTCCCTGTCTCTTGCAGGGTCGCCTCGCATTTTGAGAAGCCATCGGCGCTGATCATGTTCTTATCATTGTCCTCTCTGCAAGGAAAACACATGTTCAGCTCGCACCTCTCATCTCAATCACAAATGGATGATAAAACCGTCTGAAAGCTGCGAAAATAACCGAGAGGCAGCTCTTTTTACCCACTCTGCGGTGTCAATGTTGCCCAGTAAAAAACAGAAGTGTGTTTTTCAGCACCGCCTATAGACACGTGTTTCTGTTTTACATGACGGCCTGATTGTGTAACACACCCCTGCGTTGGCAATATGACATTATCCAACAGTAAGACAGCCGGAGGAGAGGAGCTCGGGGCGGGCTGGGAAACCGTCCGCGCCTTCCCACACACGACGGGGAATGACTGGATTGGTTATTATTATCCCGACGTGTAGCAAAAGGACCGCAAGTGACGAGCCAGTGAGCTGTAAACACGATGAGGCATGCCGTGTGCCTGTCATTTAAAGCCATTAAGTATTAATATACACATGAAATCAGGGGAATTATGTTTTTCCCGTTTATGCGGGCTACAAATAGCATCTTTTTCCCAGCTCTGGAGAAGCAGAGCGAGAACCTGACATCAGAAGCGACATATAACGCTAAGTGCAGCGCACTCTGACAACATTTCATTCATGGCCCTGAGCGCTTTAAATTTAACAGTTTTAGCCAAAACAGAGGGGTCGACAGCCTCACACAGTTTAACAGTAATGTGTCTGAAGTTATCTGACCTCTACTGTGGACTGGCACTTGACACCAGACGGCTAAATGCCATTATGCTCATGCTAACGCTAGCTAGTGACTCTAAACCGCAGTGTTAGCTAACAGCAGGTTGTTAGCTACAAGAATATTAAGGAAAAAAGGAAACACCCGTTTATCCTACAGGCTTTGCGACGAGTTAGAAACCAATTAGATACACCTCAGAGATACTTGATTAGAATAGGAGCTTCGCCGCTTTTACCTTGTTCTGACAGCATCCCCAAATCTCCGTCACTCGGTCACCAAACTGTCAGCCGAGCCGGGCGGGTGGTGTCATTGGACGGTTCACTTAAAGGGCAATGCTACTGTTTTTAACTGTGTTTGTGTAGTATGTCATAGACCGGGAGTGTCACGCTCATTTTTAGTTCATGAGCTCCGTCTAGCCCAGCCAGCTTAATCCTAAGTGGGTCAGATTGGTTAAGAACTGAGTAATTGAATAAAAATAGTACAGCCTAGGATTAAAAAAAACCTGTGCACGACAGTAGTGCAATAATAAGTAATATGTACTTTAACTATACCAATCTTAAAAACCGGCTGAAGGTGTATAACAAAAATAATTGTGTAATCTTATGCCTGACAGGAGTGCTCACCAGTCACAGAAAGAAGAGTTGTTGTACAGTTTTATAGAGAACAGTAGGAATGATTCTCACACCTCTCTCACTCTCTGATACCTTGATAGATGGGTATCAGTTCTTTTTGAGTTATTACTCTCGCTGTATATGCATATATATAAAGTACAAAGGATAAAATTGAATAGAGTTCCTGTTTGAAAAGCAAATGTGTTTGGCACAGCAGTGCATTCAGACCATGATTGTGCTTGCTGAAGGTGCCGGACAGGATAAGTTAATTAATAAATAACTACAAATTCTGACCTTACGCCTCAAAAATCTGATGCCACCATCTCAATGTTGCAGCAGAAATCAATACCTAACGAAATTTTTTCAGAGCTCTACTGTAAAGTTTGGTGATCCTGTATAAACTGTAGCTTTATTTTCCTGGCTAACAGGAGTGCCACCTTGTGTGCTCTTTTGCTTCTGTAGCCCATCTGCTCTAACATGTTGTACATTCAGAAATGCCCTTGGGTGCAGCAAGTGGTCATTTGACTTACTGCAGCCTTCCTTTCCCTTTGAAACAGCCTAGCCATTCCCCTCTGATCTCTGGAATTTAAAAGGCATTTTCACCCAGAGAACTGCTGCTCACTTTATATTTATCAGACCATTTTCTGTAAACCCCAGAGATGGCTGTGTGGGAAAGTCCCAGTAGATCAGCAGTTTCTCAAACACTCAGATCAGCTCAGACCAACAACCAGCCACATTCAGAGTCACTTAAAATGTCTTTCTTCCCCATTCTGATTCTTCACCGTGTCATCTTGACCATACATGCATTGAACTGCTGCCAGGGGCTTTAAACTTTAATGCACATGCAATTGCATGATAGTAGATACAGTGAGCGTGGAAAAATGTTGAACACTGTTGCATCTGTCAATCACAGGCTGCCCATCATCTGGTTTGTAAAGGATTGCTGATGAAATGAGAAAAATAACTGAAATCAAAATACAAATTTATGTTATCTGCCAAATTTGTAAGAGAGCATCTTTCACTGGGGCTTATGGGTTCAGTTTTATTCTAAAAATCTTGGATCTTGGGTAAGTCTTCAGGATGTACTTGGAAGCATGTTTTTACACCTGTGCATTACTTCAGGTGCTGCTGAATGAGTTATGGGTTAGTTTGCATGTGCACTTGTAAAATATGCAAATGTCTTTTCCATGACTCATCGTCACCATAGCATTGGTACAACAAAACAATCACACTTGCATGTTTAATATTTTTTTTCTAAAGAAGGTGGAGTTTAGAAATAATGCTTTCAGTTTGTAGGGTAAACCTCGTAAATCCATGTAGTTCATGTACGAGTGACGGCTGAGCACATGAGGAAATTCAGTTATTTACTTTTTATTTATTCTTTTTGAGTAAACAACATTAGTTAAACAACTAATACATTTTTTACATGTTTTTGTAGATCAGGACAGTTGCTTTGGACTCAAGAAAAGCTCCAGACAGAAATACCCACTTTAAAGCATTGTGAAAAACTCTGTTTTCTTCTTTATTACCTGTGCTTTGTTTGACAGAAGATTATAAAAACCACTGGTGTGACAGTAAACGGTTGCACACTGGCAGCTTTAAGTCTTTATTTGAGCTCAAAAATGTAAAATTTCTGAGGCAGTCGGGCACAAAAGGTTTTTCAGTAACAATCCACAAACAGCTAGCTAGGTGAAGAGGCCTAGTGCACAAGCAGTCTAAAACCATGCATAGCTATACTTTGCTGTGGACTTTAAATTATAGAGCATGTCCTGTCAGGTAAACATGACATTGTGCTTTATTTGATCATCATTTCATTGCATCATTTATGTACGCTTATAAACATAAGATTCATTATTTAATTTACCCAACATCTCCTTAGCTGGTATACAATCATGACTTGTTATGTATACATAATAGAGATTAATATATGACAACATGGATGTTAAAGCACTGTATATCTTCTTCAAATGATACTACGATTTTATTTCTAGTATATTCTAGCTATTTACAGGCCAAAACCAAACAGGCAGCCATATTTGTGCATCATGCCCCGCTGTAATACACAGTAAACTATAAATAAACAGGTTATAGAGTGTATTTACTACCAATTTACACAAGTGCTTGCCTCCGCACAAAAACATGAGCAAGTGTAATGTTTTTGAGTGATATGATGAAATAATGTTAATACAACTTAATATTTGGGCTGAAGAAAACAATTCCCTGATTGGGGAGTGTTTTGTTTTTTTTTAAATCACAAGTGACTGTGCAGGATTTCTTATTGCTAACATAATGCAAATGAACAATTTTTAACATACAAATAACTAATAGAGTCATTTGCAACCATTTTAAGCAAGGGAACAGGTTCATTGGTACTTGCCACAATGGTAAACCCTGATAATGGGTAAATTTAATTTTAAAAACAATTACTCAGTTGAATTTACCTGGAGGTATACCTGCAGAACCGTTTTAATCTGTACAAAATCTTTTTTGTTTCAATGAGGGGGTTACTGGGGAGTTGCTATTCTGTTACATAATTAAGGCTAAAATTGCCACCAGCAGCAATAATATCCCCTGCTGAGGAAAATCCCAAGATTAGCATATTTATACTTACGGTTTTGTTTAAAGATATTTGAAGGGGTACTCTAGGTGCCCTGGGCTGGTTGCCGGTCTGTTGCAGGGCTAACACATGGAAACAGATAACCAACACTCACATTCACCTGCAGCTATTTAACCTTTAATCATCATTTAAAAAGTTTAATTGATGCAGCAACATCCTAAATTTTAGTTCTTGGTAATGGCGGAGCTCCAAAAATCCTGGATCCTACACTGCAACTCGATTTTCCCCTACCTGGTAAACGTTTGCTGCTGGATCCAGACCTTAAAATCAGTCCATTGCAGTTGACTCATTAGGCATTTTGATGTGAAACAGCAGTTTCTCTGGAAGAAAAAGTTAAACCTGTCCAGATGACTGCTGTGGAAGAATGAGTGCGAGTGGGACTAACACTCCTTTCAAGCTGTTTACAAGTGTTAGCAATTGATGAGGGAAGCCCCTGGTGGCAATGAAAATAATATCATGCAATTTAATGAGCTGGCAGTTTTGTCTGATATGAGGCAAAAACCTTTCAGCATCTTCAGCTTAAGCAGACTTTTTTGAATATAGAGTTTTATATAGAGTCCAAGCTGAGATTACACAAATATGTTGTTTTAGTCATTTTCTCACACTCAGGCTCCTCCAGGGTCAGTGAAGACATTATTCAAGTGCTTTCAGTGGGTGTGTGCTGCTCTCTGCTACTGACTTAAATGTAACAGTGACGGAGGTGGACATACTGTAATTTCAAGATTATGGGAGACAAAGCAATTATCTGTAAAAAGACTTGGTGGAGTGACTGTTCTTTAGAGGCCAGTCAGACAATAACTTTTAATCCTTTCAAACTGCAGTTTGTGCAGTTTTGAGAAACAGATTAATAAAGAACACCAAGAAATCATAGGGATTGGTCTTGAAGTCTTCTAGCACAGAAGAAGGCTTTGTCCTGCTAAATTTCTTTTGAAACCCAGCATCACTGGGAGATCTCAGCAAGTTGTGCCAGTTTTGAAGAAAATAAGACATCGGTCTTCAGCCTAGAATTATCCCCACACACCTGATCACGTGTACACTAAACTCCCTTTAGTGTACATATTATTTGCAGCTCTTAACTCTCTTATACTGAGGCCATGCATTTTTTTGAAATGCAGATATAACAGAGCAAGAGCAAGTAAATTAGGAACCAGATGTTTTTGTGCTTGAAAATCCCTGGAGAGATTAGCTGTCTCACTCACTCACACATGTACATCCAAACTCATACACACAACTCTCCATCCTTCAGAGTATCCTTAAACCACGAGGAAACGCTCAGCCTGGCTGATGCTGTGGAGCAAGAGGCATGTTGTCCTAAAAGATCTGAGGACACTGGCTCCAGTCTTGTCTTTCTTTGGCCTCCCAGTAGCCGCCTTTGTAGATAAAAATGTTATCGCCTGTCTCGTCTGTCCTCTTCTCAAACCACAGTGGCTGGTAACCCTCAATATCTTGCCCTAAAGACAGAACATATGTGCTCATTTTCAGGATATTGCAAAGTTCTTTCTTCATAGACTCTAAATATTGTAAAATTTGCCAATTACTGCAAGTTTTTGTCAGGTTTTGTCAGCTGTTGACCAAAGCTAAAGATCAATAGTCACTCATTTTATAACAACAGAGCTTTCACCTGTGCTCTTTGTTTCTAAATAAGGAAAAATCTGTTATTGCTATGAGCTCACTGCAAAATAAAGCTCTGAACAGCTGCTCGATATGTGCTGAAGCTTGGCACAAATGATGCAAAAGCCAGAAAAGTCTTTGTCATCACTGTTCTTGTTCATTTCCTTGCACTCACCCTCCTCCAGGGCCTGGTTAGCTTGCGCCCTTCTTTTCCTCTCCAGTCTCTGTCGTTCCTCTAGACGTTGCTTCTGACTGTTGGCTTCATCCCACAGACCAGCCTCCATCAGCCGCTGGTCTGGCCGCAAGCGACTGTCAGTGGGTGCGACGCCCTCTTCTGGCTCATTTAAGGTCAGTGCCAGAGAGGAGAAAAAGTGCATGTTCTCTGCATTTTCTCTGGAGGACGGATTAGAGAACTCAGTGTGACAAAAGATGCAGACCGAGAAGGAGAAATAGCACACCGACACACTCAATCATTAAGATAGAGCACAAAATGTATTACATACGGAAGGGGATATTTCTTCCACAGCAGTTTGGGCGGAAGAGTCTGATAAACCGTCTTTTGTTTCCCTTCGGAGCCTCCGCATCCTTGGCTGCTATCCACTATCTTGGCACTTTCGATTTTGTCATCCCAGGTTCCGGACAGGATGTAATGAGCTGTGCCCTCTCGGTCCTCTACCACTCCTGTCACCTAAAAATAACAAAGAACATAGCACACAAGAAGAGATCAGCCCTCATCAGGGTCTTAAGGTTTTTTATTTACTTTCTTTTTTTAAAATCCATTTTAGTTTCAGTTTTTGCTGTTTGAAAATGTCCGACTATGAAACTGCATGTGCACTAGCTAATGACATGCGACTGGGAAGCCATATGAGAATGAGAGCGTGGTTGCATACCACAGAAACAGCATTACTGGGATTTATAAAATATACCTAATTGATATCATTGCCTGTGATAAGAATTTATTTTACCCATGCCCTTACATCCTGCTAGTACCTTAGATGACCTCCGAAATCATGTGAAAAACAGGTGGACAGCCAGCTTTTCAGATGGGGTCTGCCCGAGTCTGACCCAGCTGATCCTCTTTTATTTCTTCTTCTTTTAATGATCCTGTTTTCCTATTCGTGTTAGTTACTTGTTCTATGTTCTATTATGCAGTGTGAGAGAATACTGATAAGCAGGTTATATAACCTTATTCACTTAAGTGTTTTAATTAAATATGTTTAATCATCTGTTTTGTGTATGACTGTGTTTTTCATATTTGTGATGGTTCGGGGTGTCTGGGGATATCAACGCCCTACCGAAGGGTAGACAGCCTAGAGTGACAGTTGAAGATATTTTCTTTCGGGAGTGATTCAGGAATTTTTTTTAGGAATAGAAAGAAGTTGTCATAACAAGGATGAAGCTGGTTTCTCTCTTTGTGCAAGCAGTCGTTTCCCTCTGATGCATCAGCTCTGGTTAAACCTGACAGCTCAGTCTACTGAGATGTAATTTCCACAACATAAAGTGAAGACACAAATCAGCACTGGAAATTAGTAGAGCTGTTGCTGCTGAACACTGCTGCTTTTCTCCATTAAGGGGGATTTTCGCTGCGCGTTACTGGTTTTAAGGCTGGCAGAAATAGAAAAATAACTCATGGAAAAAGAACCGTGAAAGGCAATTTGGCGTTCCAAAGGGAGATATGCTGCTAGATGGAGTTTTCAGCCATGTGTTTTGGCTCTATGTAACCTCTTGGGTTAGAAGAAAAGGCCTACAGACCGACTGTAAGACTATATTTTACTTTAATCTCTTCCCAGCTCTCTGGCTGTTGGCTCTTGCTGAGAATATTAATAGAAATATTGCAATCTTTTACTTTTGATATTTCTTTCATCTTTTTTTTAGCTGTTGTTTGGTTCAACGTACTTAAAATGTGCTTTAAATGTATTTAATTTATCACACATTTTTTGCCACCCCTCCTGAATTTTGCTGCCTTTATGATCTTTAGTGCTTCAACACATCATAGCCCTCAAAGAGAGGTTCTTGTTCTGTTAGTTTGACACTTTGTGCCCTCCTTTTTCTTATTTCTCCAGCTGTAAGGTTGGTAATCCTTGTTTTAAGTAGGTTATCCATTTTTTTCAATATTCAATATTAGTCAATATTAGGAGAAAGTTGTATCTGTTAAAACAGCATTACAGATTCTCTCTAAAGGGCTTGTGTAGCAGTAGACATTCGGCAAATGTAAGACTGAGTTAATGTTGTAGTTGTCTATAAGTTCATCAGAGACTTACTTTGCGTGGGACTTCCCTGGAAAAGTAGCTGTAGGGGGAGAATTTAAGACGACAGGTGTCCTTGGTTGTGGTGTTTACAATGTCAATGTCCCCAGACTGCCAACAAGAAAAAAAACAGATGTGACTTAAAAGTGTACAGTGACTAAAATTACTTTCCTTTATGCATGGAAAAAAAAGAAAGAAGAAATTTTGCTTTTGTTTGCTGGATGCTTTCCTTATTTCTTAAGGAAATTACTTTCAAATCAGTTGCTGTGGATCCTGTTTAGGCTTACCACTTGTTCAGTTTCCCCAGATTTTTTTAAGGATATGCCAAGTTTCAGCTAATATTGTCACTGTTGGTCCAAAATTATTATTTTCTGCCTGTCGAACTGTGTTATCTATATTTTTTTTAATATATTTGACTAAAGAGATTTAGCAAAAAGAAATGGAGTACATAGAGATGCAATTTAAATCCCTTCATTCAGGTTGTTTTTTTATCCTGGAGTAATTCATAGGTCCATTTTAACAGAATAAACAAACAAGCATAAAAAATATTCCTCTGAACATGATAAGCTACAAAGACTAGTCCACAAATGAATGACAAAGAATCTAATACATAAAGAAAAAATGTAAAAGACCTTCAGAAAGCTTTGCGAACTGCTGTCCAAGAGGAACACACCTGATCAATCCAGAGCTTCCCTACAATAATATTGTGCACTGTGGAAGTCACTTTGCTCCACACATAGTGGTTTCCACTCGAGTGGAACTGCAGGTGAATGTTTCCTATGGTAAAAAAAAATGCATACAAAACATCACATAGACATTTCAGTGTATTTATAAATCAGATCTCAGATGTAGTAGCATTTGTGCTCATATAAAGTGACTGTCATCGTGAACACTGACTGCTTCTTACCTAACGGCACCACTGAAATATATTTCCCACGAAATTTGCTGTCAATAGTGATATGCTGCCACAGGGTCCATCCTCGCTGTGATGTCACATGGTGGGCAGCAGCTGGTGGGTGATGACTAACCTGAAAGTGAATTGTATCAGCTGGTGTCAGTAGAGCCAATATAAGCACAATATGTTGGGTGTTTGCTCTCCTCTCCATTGTTTATAAAATGTGATCAAAGACGCATAAACGCAGTAATTAAGTGATTCCTTGCCTGCTCACAGATGGAGCGATAACCATACTCATCCAGCCGATCCAGCTCATAAGTCTCCCCCAGCAGAGGGTTGAAAGGCTTGGCTGTGCGATGGACTGTGGTGGAGTAGGAAGAGACAGAAAAGGCAGCCACCAGGCACATCTGCTCCAGGGACGAGTCGCAGCGAGCGGCCCGGTCCAGAAGCTCACTGTACTCCAGATCCTCAGTCAGACGCTGGAGCATCGACAGCGGCTCGTTGAAGTTTACCTGCAATTGCACATTTCATACACATCTAATTAAGTTCCCGCCACATTAAGCTTTGACTAGAGCTCATTAGTGGAGAATGCAGATTTGTCCACTATTTACAGGCATGGGTATCTTCGATAGATCTTTCCCAATGCAATTTTTCATGATGCTCCACAGGTTAAGGGAGTAATTTGGTTTGTCAGGAATACGGCTGCGCCTTGTTCTTCGTAGCTGCATGTGGTTTGCGCCTAAGGTGTCCTGTAGAGAAAAGGACAAGCTAAGATGAATAGGGCTACTCAGTAAAGTGTTTTTCATTAATATCCGTATTCTTGTGACGTACATTCTCATTGTGAGTCCAGTCATTGGGCACGCCTCCACTCATCATACTCTGATTACTTCCTGAGCGCCTAAGTGAAAAAAACAAATATTAAAAACATTCACAAAAATAGCTCAGCGGGTTAGACATACAGTAACTGTGTAGAGATGATGCCTCTCACTTGTGCTCTATGTTACCAGTAGCAGTCACAGTTATGAACGCAGGTGAGTCCTCCATGGCATCGAAGAACTCTGCCTCGTCATTCTCGTCGCTCGCATCTCCCTCCTGGGATCGCTCCACGCCTACGGCAGCAAGCACAGGACAGGTCAGCTGAGAGTCCTGCACATCATCTACATCCACACAGGAAGTAGCAAATAATGGAGACTAAAAAGACTTGTATGTTTGCTTCAGGTAATAGAACTTTCATTAATACTTGCCTCAAAGCGGTATGAAGAAGTTGTTTAACTATTAGTAGCTTCGTAATGTTTGCTTTGCAGGTTGCTTTTAATTGACATGAGGCATTTCACATAACTAACATATAAAGGTCTTATTTACCTTTATCAATGTTATTTACAGCAGTTAATGATTGTAGGTGTTCTGTGTTCACACTCTGTGCACTGCAAAAAGGCTTTCCATGCTCAGAGACACATACGCACAAGCCCAGGGACGATTAACAAACACTGAAGCTACACTTCAACATCAACATTGGCCGCTTTGTTACTTTTGTGCGCAAAGCTCAGGTTGTAACCATTAACCTGTTAGCATTAGTTATACCAAACAGAAAAAATGTGCTCCCAAAGACTAACATTGATCACAAAAACAGTAAAACATAACAAACTACATCAGAAAAAACAAAAATCACTAAAATAATAGTTTATTTGTTTACTGTAGTTTCTTATGCAGATTGTAGATAAATATGCTTAAAAAAAGGTTAAAGTCTAACTCAAGTAACCTGTCTGTGCACCACCCGTTGAAGAGGCCCATTTGCTCTTCGGTGACACAGGATGTCTGGGAGACAGACAGAGTCTCACCTGTATATGAGGTGGGATTCTCCCTCCAGGCTCTTTCTAAGCTGTTATGCTGTTTGGCTAACTGTTCGATGGTCTCCTCCAGATGGTGACGCTGTTCTCTCTCATGCTGCAGGGCCTTTTGCCACCTCCGACTGTGAGATTCTGCCACGTCCACAAAGTCACGACAAGCCTGAGGTGTGAACACAAAACACATCAAAGAATGCGGGCGGCACCCTCAAGCTCTATTCCCCCTTTGTTAAAAAAAAGCATTTCTGCTAGCCTCCCATTAGAGTGGCTACATACTGGGGGAGAACTGAATGGCTCACATTGATCATAGCATTGGAGGTGATGCGAAAGAGGGTGGCTCGCTCATTAACGGCTTTCACTTTGTCTGTGCTGTCAGTGGATCCACGCAGGTCCTCGAGTTCACTGAGGGAGCGCTGGAGGGCAGCACCATGCTTTCCTATCAGCTCATTACAGGTGCTCAGGTCATCTAGCTTGCTGGCCAGAGTCTTAAGCACCCCTTGGGTTAGAGTACGATCCTCCTGAGGTACTGGGACTTCATCCCCCGAGTCATCTTCAAACACACATGCACAAAAAAAAAAAAAAAATACAGCCAGGACAGAATTTTATTCATTTACTAAAATAGCATCATTAGAGGTTATTACATGTAAACAGAGTGGGTGTTTGTGATGGTGTAGTAAACAGCACACTGGGATGTAATGGCAGATTGAGAAATGCATTTAAAATTTAGATCGAGACAAGCTGAGAGAGCATTAATGGGGACTGGCTAGAAGAAGATATTAACACTTCACACCCTGATCCACCACAAATCTTCCTCTCTACAACACTGGAAAGCTGTGAATGAACACTGTTGCCCTGGAAACGTAGGTCTGTGCAATCAGGAGGCAAGGCTATTTTTAGAGGAAGAAGGAGAAAAAAAAAGATGACGCACTACCCTTTTCTCCTCTGTCTCCCCCTCACTATCTCTCTCTGTACCCGTTTGCTGGAGTGAGCCAAACCATCAGTCTGAAGCTTTAATGGAGGAGTGTAAAGAGACTGGGCTGATTACAAAGCATCATGGAGAGATTTATGACAGTGCTTTTACCTGAAAGTATCTCATTTACAGTCCCATTTTCACTTATGGAAAGTTAGGCG